GTAAACTTTCTTCCTTTTGAGATTCGAGAGCAGTTATGCGTACACAGTCAAAGTGGAAAGGGGGTCCACTTTTTAAAGTGACAGTCGAGGGGGTAGTATAGATCACACGGCAAAACAAGTAAAACACAGCCTGGGGGTTAGTGGTGGGGGTGGGTGGGGGTTGATCTGAAGCACAGGGTCAAAAGGGTTGACACGCGCTCCGACTTTCGGGTCCACCCTCAGCGCACTAGAGTTCACAGTATGTATTCATACAGTTGTAGAAGATGGCACTCATCTCCACGCCTTCCGACTCGGTCCGGAACGTCCTCGAGTTGTTCACATGGGTGGGCAAGACAGAGCTCGCTACCACGGTGCACTGACACATCCGACGGGCTTCACGGGGGTACACGATGCAGGAGCGGAACGTGGGTCCGCTCTCCCGGGTGAAACAAGAAGGGGGGGCGGCGTCGTCGGGGAGGACGGCGACGAGGTGGGGTTTGCTTCCACAGCAGAGAAGTGAAGGCGGCCGGCGCGTAGGAGTTAATCCAAGAGTCACACCACACAGAACAGCAGCAGCTCCGCCTTCGACCACTCCGTCAGCAAAGACACGGTAAACCAGCACAGCAGAACGCCGTCCGGCTGACCGGGAGTCCGGGAACGAACTGGCGGCGGGGACTGGCACGCCCGAACAAAAACCCGCCTATGCCGAGCCGTGCGGGAGCGGCAGAGCGAGCGACCCACACGGAGGGCGTGGCGCGGCGTGGCGCGGCGGCGGGGCGGCTGCCAGCGCGGTCTGGCCCGGCGCGGAGCACGGTCGAGCGGCCCGGCTGGCTAGCAGGCAGCCTCGGCCGGCTCCTCTCCACGCCACAACGGCTCGCTGGGCTCGGCTGGCGGCTAGCTCACAGCGCCGCCGCCTGGGTGCGCGCGAGTCACCACTACCGACTTCGGGAGACGGGGACGGGACGGCACGACGCACAGTCGATCCGGGATAGCAGCCGCGCGATATTCAATATTGTATAGTCGCTCGCGTCTCACGATGGGGCGGCTCGAGAGCGAGAGAGAAAGAGAGACGCGCGCGCGAGTACTTCACACTGTGACAGAGAGAGAAAGAGGGCGGACGAGCGGTTCCGCCAGAGTTCGGCTCACTAGTGGTCGCGGCCGCGAGGCGCGGGCTTATTTAAAGGCGCGAGGGGTCCCGCGGGCCCATGACGTCCCCCCTCCTTCTTCCCCTGGCCCCTCCGCGACCCTCGTGGCTTATCGGCCCAATGAAATGCACAAGGCGATCCCCCGATCCCCCGATCCCCCGATCTCTCTCTCTCTCTCTCTCTCTCTCTCTCTCTCTCTCTCTCTCTCTCTCTC